TGAAATAATCCTCTTTAATACAAGGTTAGTTAATAATAATAGCTTTGGTGTATCTTTGAAGCATTTGATAAGGTGTGTTGACTTAAACATATTAGTAGTAGAAGAGAATGCAGTAGATGACATGTGCTTGTAGTATAATTTCTTGGATGCTGTTGACTACCTTGCATTTAAACATATCCATTGCATTCATCTCTTTCGATGCACCGTTTGCATAATCACTTACGCAGCATTGCATCATACAGGATCGCAAACCGAGAACCCATTGCATCGTCATACCGAGAGGAGCCCGAGGAGCAGCTCGAGGTGCAAAGAGGGAAGTGCCGATGGTGGACGCAAGTAGGACGTTGAGGAACTTCCTGAGTGCCCCGATCACCGTCCCGAGCTCCTTCGAGAGAGAGCAAGCCCTGAGCATTTTTCTCCCTGGTTGCAATGATTTAATTAAATACTTTACTTTAAATTAATGCATTACGTTCAGGAGTTGTTTGCAACCGCTCATTGCATTATACCTTGTTTACCTTTGTTATACTATATCCTTGTTACCACAAAACATCCGCATGAGTCAATGCTTAGCCGCTTAGAGAGAGATAGAAGTCGGGTGATTTCCTATCACCGCGAGCTATAGGTGGTGGTACCGAATCTACTTGGATGACTATGAAGTCATGATATAACTAAGTGTTAAATGAAGTTGAGACCGGACGGAGACTTGCGAGTTTTGGGTGTAGTGTTTTCCGTCTGTGTCGATTAAGGACCGGCCGTTGTTGGGCCTCGAGTCATGTTGAACGATGCCCTTATTTTAGTCAGGCGGCGGATAAAGTACCTTCCGACCGCATGAAGCTGGGAGTTTTTCTGCCGAGTAGATTGCCCATAACGCGACCGCAGTCTTGAGCTCGTGTGGTAGGACACGGGCGGGATGATAAGACCAAAGTGCAATATCGGTGCGGCCCCACACATGTGGTTCTGCAGCAAACTCGAGATTCTGGAAAGTTGACTCGGTGATCAATATCTCACTTTAGCGGGTGAGTGAGGTTTGTGTAAGGAATAAATCACCAAAGGGTTAGTAATCGATTCAATCGCCATCGCTCCCCGGATAGTGAGCACTTGACTTGAGTTACTTCATCGTAGTAAATGTTATGGAACACTTGGATGCAGTTATAATGAATATGACAAATAGAAGTTGTTTAATGATCATTGGTTATCATTATCTGCTTAATCACTTGTTTACTCTAGTATAGGTGCAAATCTAATCGATCGTGTTAATAATAATTAACTTGGCAATAATGCTTTTCAAAAGTTCTTGAAATGCTAAAATGCTTCTTTTTCTCGCAAATGAGTCATTACCTACCCACCTATAAAGCCCTCATAATCCTTGGTGTCATTTATTTTCTTTCGTTATGTCGGGTAAGTCTAATGAGTACCTTCTCGTACTCGTGGTTTATTCCCACTTGTTGCAGATGGGGGATGGTCTGTATTACGCCATCAAATGATCAACTGCAGCTCAGATCCCACGGCGATGGTGATGCTTAGGACCATGGGCATGGTCATTCCTTACGCCTCGTCTGATGCTTTTGTTGGAGATGATCATGTCTGTCGGCACTATATTTAAACTCCGTGAGTGTGTGTGTGGTTTGAACAAATGACTTCCGCTACTTTTATTCGAATTGGTTTGTAATAACTATGTTGAAACTCTGATGTATCTGAGATTGTGAACTTTTATGTAATATGTGATGGTGACCGCTAAACTTATTACGATCTTGGTCGGAATGGAAGTTGGTTTGAAATCCTTCGTGATTTCACGGACTACCGGGTTATACGGGCTTAAGTTTGCTAAATCGTCCCGCTTTCGACGGATGATTTTCTTACTTAATTTCAGTATAATTGGTCGATTCTATTCGGAGGGGAGGAGAGAGGAGGAGGAGGAGGAGGAGGAGCACCACGCCGTTGACGCCGCCGCCCTGCTCAAGGTGGGGGATAGAGAGAGAGAGAGAGAGAGAGAGGAGGGAGCAGAAGAATCTGGAAGGAGAAGCGGGAGCCATAGTATATATTTGGTTCTCTGGATTCTAACGAGAAGCGGGAGAAGCAGAGGATAAGGGGGAGAAGCCAACCAGAAGCACAAGAATCGGTTGTCGTCGAGAATCCGCTTCAAGCGATCTGGGCCGTCGAACGTGAGATCGGACGACCAATGGAATTTGGAGGGACGTGGATAGGGCTTCTGCGCAGGAGCTGTCGCGTTTTGTAGTTTTAAATTTTTCAGACATCGAGAGGCAACACTTTTTTTTACACTGGTTTTGCCCCAATCCAGAGGTAAATTTAGTGGCCCCACCGTCCATCCAAACAATATTATGAAATATGGACCATAAAAATATATGGACTTACAAATCGGATACTCGGAGGATACGTATCGGAGCCGTATCGATAGCGTATCCGATACGCGATACGGTCCCTCATTGAACTACGTAGGCTACAACTTCTAATAAAGTTTAGACTTTCAGCATATTGGCATAAATATAACGTAACAATAATGAATTAAATTGATGCTCCTAAGAAACAACACTATGATACTATTTATTTGGTAAGTTGTGTCATACTTGTGTTCATATTATACGCCAACTTTGAAAAATGTAATACAAACAATGCATCAGTAGTAGTTTAATAGCATCAGGACAGTCCTAACTTATAAACTATGATATAGTTTATATACTTATCAAATCATGTAGATACTACATGTAAATACCATACTTCTAGCGGATGGTTTTTTTTTTTTTTTGGTCAAACCACATGTCTCCTCTATCCTATAATCTATCTAGCAGATCTTTTCATATCTTGGTTTTCGTGTAAATTAGTTTTTATTTATAAGAAATCATTTCCTCCTCCTCTCTCTCTATCTATTTCGGTGACACATCACCATTTTATTTAGTTTGTACCTAACTAATACTCCCTCCGTCCTAGTTTATTTGCACGTTTGGGTTCAAAAACTTTTCCATATTAATCGGTCAACGAACTTGAGCATGCAAAGAAGGTTGAGGACCATTGGAGCAAATAAGAATAGCTAGACAACCATGCGACAGTGGCGCCAATGTGTCAGACCAAAACAATAAAAAAACTAAAAAACAAAAGGAAAACAAAAAAAATCAACGGAGGCTCCATCGGCCCAATCTAGAAGCTGCTGGGGGCTTCATGACCCAACCTGGCGTAATAAAATGGTTGTCGTACTGGAGAACTCCCTTACCTCTCGCAGGCATCCCACCACTGCAGCCGGTCTATATTTATAGGGTTATTTTGATAATTTTCATCCGTTTTGGTTGCCGTGCCCAATCTCAGAAATACAAATAATTCGGGACGGAGGGAGCACTATAGAAACCATTCTAGTTTTTTATTGAGACTACCATCGGAATTACGTACGAATTAAAGAAACTGAAAGAAAGACATTGGGAAAAAATAATCTTATAATATTTATGCCTCCACTGCAAGATTACAAGATTAGTAGTAAAATTTTCCTGAGTGAAATGGGTGGCAGAATAACTATTCACTCGTATAGTACTACTAGTAACAATATCTTACTGGCAGTACCTGCTGGTCGTTGCGGAATAGTAGCCACGCAACTTGACTGCTCTGTTCGGCTGCGCCTACAAATCCAGCACACGCGCGCGTCCTCCTCCTCGTCCTCCCCGCAAACCCCCAAGTCCCCAACTACCCCACGGTCTCGGGAGAGAACCTTCCAGAAGCGCAAGACTCCAAGGCCGTCGCCTTCCTCGCCGCGGGGGTCGCCTGAGGTATGCTACCTACCAAAACCCTCTCACGGATTCCTGGGGTTTCGATCGCCTCAACTCTGCTCTTGTTGCTTCGTATAACCTGGTCTCCGAATACCCCGGATCTCAGATCGGTGGTGCGGTTCCACTTCTATTTTGTTTTTCCCCTTTCCGCCTCCTTCGTTAGCTTCCGATTGATCGTCGAGCTTAGTTAGATCTTCATATCAATCCCATCTAGGCGTCACAAGTAATGGGACTCGATTTGCTTCGTTCCACCGGATTAAGCACTTTGGGAGCGCTAGATACGTGTCATGTTAGTCCCCTTGTTCAGTCTTGTTGCTTGTTCTGGGATGGATGGTCGTGTGTATATTACCTACTTGGAGTACTTTATGCTACTCGTGGTGGACTGGTGGTGTCTCATGTTGGTACGTAGACTGTTGTGGAAGTGTTAGCTGTAGACTTTTTTTTTTCTGTTGTTTTTAGCTTTGATGATGAACCGGATCACCACTACGCCTTCAGTTTTACCCCTGACCAAGAATACCTGATGAAAGAATGATATTTTCAAAGGTTGTACTGGTATCGCTATTTGTGCCAAGAAAAAGTGTGGCTGAATCATGCAGTTTAACTTCTAGAAGTTCAGATGTCATAGGCTCATAGCATCATGATTTCTGCCTGTTGAGATTAGCTATTTGGAGCACGTTTGATCAGATAGGTTTAGGTACCCATATCCTGTTATGGTTTGTCAGGGGATGTGTAGGGTGACTGGACTAGCAAGGTGTGACCAGTCGAAATCACCACTACCTCCATGATTAATTTTTTGAAGTTCTGTTTTGAGAAAGAGTTGTGTGTATTATTTGTACCCAATTGTGTGTGGTGTGATTCTCCTAGAGTTGTGTTCTTCATGGGTGAAAGGTCATACATTTTTTCTTTTTGGTTATCTTGAATAAGTGTACAGGTCTGTGTGGTCTCTAGTATGTGGAAAAATGGAAACAGCCACTTGCAACATAGTCATAGCGTCTCATATTTCCTCTTGGTTCACTTTTGATGTCTTGATGATGTCACAAATGAAGGCATAGTTCATGTATTTTGTTTAAAATATTCCATCTTCCACTTACGATGAGATTATGTAGATGATCTAGGGGTTAACATCTAATATGTACTGACATATCTCACTGCTTGCTTGTAGTTTGTGCTACTTTTACCCGTACTGAAATGCCCTGTTACTTGTGGAGTTGTTTGCAGATCACATAAACAATGGTGAAGGCTGTTGCTGTGCTTGGTAGCAGTGAGGGTGTCAAGGGCACCATCTTCTTCACCCAAGAGGGAGATGGTAAGCCATTACATATTCTTTGATCTAGTATTTTATATCCAATTGAATTGTCGTCTTCGCCTTGTTGACTCTGCTCATTGGATCTATTGTTAGGCCCTACCACTGTCACCGGGAGTGTCTCTGGCCTCAAACCTGGCCTCCATGGGTTCCATGTGCATGCACTTGGTGACACCACCAATGGCTGCATTTCAACTGGTATTTATGCTTCTTTTACTTTGGCTTGCTTATGTGATCAGGATGTGTGCTAAGTTATCGACCATTGAACTTTCTACTTGTTGGTGAACTTGTTTCATAATTAAGGACCACACTACAATCCTGCGAGCAAGGAGCATGGAGCACCAGAAGATGAGAACCGCCATGCCGGTGATCTTGGAAATGTGACAGCTGTAGCAGATGGTAATGATCTCTGCCCTTCCTTTCATGATCTGTTTTACATACCATGTAGTAGCTGGTCGGTGGTCGCTAGTACTTGGGCTAAGGAAGCTGTGTTACTTCTGTGATCCTTTAGCCATAGTCCATAATTCCATTCACATGCTGTGTATATGATAATGTACTATCTTGTCACTGAGTTTGTTTCTCTGCTGTCAGGTGTTGCTAACATCAGTGTTACCGACAGCCAGGTAATCAGACACTTGCTGGACCCTTATGATTCCTATATCACCCTAGCCTTCTCCTTAACACTGCTAATGATTTTTTTCAGATCCCACTGACTGGGCCCAACTCAATCATTGGCAGAGCTGTTGTTGTTCACGCTGATCCTGATGATCTTGGAAAGGGTAATGATTTTATTTACTGTCCACACTTGTGCCTTTTGTGTGTTGAATGTGGTGCTTTTCCTCTGTTTTGAGCTAAGTTTTTCACAATGGTTCTGAGTTCAGATAGTCCTATAATCACTATATATACCTGTTTATGGATCACGTGAATAAATCCTTGCGAGAGTGTCTCTAATTATATCTCATTATTAAATGGTAGAGAGAGAAATTTGGCAAGGCTATGTGTCGGTGTTTCGGATCATCGGCTAGTAAATTTTTAGTGTGCGCGTCTGGCCCGGATGGTGTGCTCGGAGGACACAAGGATTATACTGGTTCGGGCAGAACGTCCCTATGTCCAGTCTGCTGCTGCTCGTGTTATCGGCACTGTCTATAGTAGGGGTTACAAACGGGCGAGAGAGGAAGAAGGTTCCAAGTCTCTGCTGAAAAGATCGAACGAAGTTGAGTCTTGTTGAGCTCGTTCAGCCGTGTGCTCGTGCCTCTCTCTCTCATGGGGCGTCTTGCTTTCCCTTTTATAGGTGAAGGGGAAGGCGCAGGTTATAGAGAGAGAGAGAAAAGGAGAAAAGCGAGGGAGAAGGCCCTCAGGGGTCGCGGCGTCATTCATCTCCTTTATGCGGGTCTTGCCGGTCTTATAGATGATGACGGGGACGACTCCACGTCGTGGCCCTGTTCACCACTGGTGCCATGCCTCAACGTCATCAACTGGTCGTGGTGTTCCATCCTGTCCCAATGGCGTGGTCAACAGTACTCTGCCGAAAAGTCGTGACGGGATTAGGCGACCAACAATGACACGCGCGCCGACAACCGCTGTTGGCGACGTAAGCCCCCAGGTATGGTCCGTCGTGGCCACGGGTCACGTCGAGACGTGCCCACTTCGCTCCCGGTGTTAGAAGTTTGACCCTGGGATCGTTCTCTAACACCCGTAGTGGTTGGAGGCGCTATGGATCCCGTCGGGCGAGACGGAACCCGCACCTGAGGGTTTTGGCGAGACGGAGCCCGCGTCCTCGTGGTCGGGCGAGACGGAGCCCGCGCCCGAGGGGTCAGGTGAGACGGGCCCACGCCCTCGGGGTCGGGCGAGACGGTGCCCGTGCCCTCGAGGTCGGGCGAGACCTTAAATACGTCTTGGACCATCCGGGCGAATTAACGTTCGTGGCCGTTAACTTCCTTCCACGGGGTATCCCTAATATCAATACCCGACAGTAGCCCCGAGCCTGCGGAGGAGTAGAATACTCATTTGGAGGGTTTTTTCATGCGGGAGGACTCTGAGGGCCTCGGTCTCCCGTTGTAGCCCACGGGGTGTCTTGGTAGGGTTGCGATTCCCTTCTGTCACGATCGGACTCCTTGGGAACATGTAGCTGCGGGATTCGGGGGGCCGGAAAAGATTTCTCTTGATTGTGATCCCTCCCTAGGATCCGATCGATCCGCCATCGTCATGCGACCGCGTATTCGGACTCCTTATGAGTCCAACTTCCCTCGAGCCCTCGCGCGTAGCAGGGGTCCGGTCGAAGGGTCAGCTTGTCTTGTGATCGTCCCCCCTCAAGCGTTTTTTCGATAAAACGGAGGGGGTTGAGCCATGCCATGTTTTTCTCGATGGACGAATCATGGTGCTCGGTTAGTTGTTAATGGTCTAGTCCGAGTGGGGCCTCGGCTTCCCGTTCATAGGGGTCCGGCATGGGTCAGCTGGTGATCGACTCCAGATTCTTGGCGGCCAATCCATATAGTTCTCGGGTCCATTCGACCGGTCCCAAGGGCTCGCTGCCTTTCTTCGAGGAAAAACCACGGACTGTGAACCGACCAAGACTCGAACGTGGGTCGGGATGCCTGCGGCGCTTGCATGCGCCCGGGTATTGGCCGCTAGCGGGCCCATCCCTTTCCACCCCTCACTCTAAAGGCGCCTCGAAGCGATTGTGAACCCGTCGGTGGGCCAACCTTCAAACTCCTGGGCCTGAATAGGCCATGGGAGCGTTTTCAGCTCCGTATCCCTCCTTACCTGTGGCGGTGAGCCAAGGCTTTGCCCGGCTACTCCGACGCCGAGCTGGAGGACATCGAGAAGGAGGTGGCCCCTCTGGCATAGGGCTTATCTGCTAAGATATAGGATGAGATCATCCCCCCAAAAAATTAGTTAGTTAGATAAACGAAGTGGTGGTCTTGTAATAAATGAACAAGTTTTAGTTCTTTTATTTTGGTCAAATAAACTTTTGGGTACTTTTTTTTTTTTTGTGTTATGAAAAGGTTACTGCATTCCGACCCCTTTTCGTTGTTAAGGCTACAAAGCTTAAGGCGCGGGCGAAAGAACCCTGATCACGTTGGTGAGCAAGAACGCCGTAGCCGCTGGGGCGTAGGTTCCTTGTAGTCCGACCAACTTTACTCAGGGTTCGTTTCCACAACTCTCGCTTTTAGATCTTAACGTGAGAAGGGGTCAGGCACAACGATTGTTTCTGAATAGGTATGCTCTTATCAGCCCTCGAGTGAGGCCCGGCCCCGCGCCGTTGCTGGGGTCGGATGTCACTAAGGATCGAGGACGAGATAACGAAAAAGAAAGCATTTTTGTATTTCAGAAATATCGTTCTTAGTTTTCATGGGTACATGCATATGCTAAGGGTAGAAACGATGTAGTTGCTCGATGTTTCATGCGTTGACGAAGACCTCACACTCGTAGGCGCACTGGAAGGAGGTGCCGACGGTGATGACCTCGCGCGGACTTGGCATCTTCAACTTCACGTAGGTGTAGTTGGGGACGACCATGAACTTCGCGTAGCATGGACGTCCCAGGATGGCGTGGTAGGTCCCGTGGGACCCGACCACCTCGAAGGTAAGGGTCTCCGTTCTGTAATTGGTCGGATTTCCGAAGGTGACGGCAGATCGATCTGCCCGAGCGGCACGGCCTGCCTTCCAGGCATGATGCCGTGGAAAGGTGTCCCGGTTGACCAGATGCGCGATCGGTCGATGTTCGTGGCGTCGAGCGTCTCAGCGTACATGATGTTGAGGCCGCTGCCTCCATCCATCAGCACCTTGGTGAGCCGCTTTGTGCCAACGATCGGGTCGACCACGAGCGGGTATCTTCCCGGCTGCGGGACGCTTTCTTGGTGGTCGGTCCGATCAAAGGTGATGGCGGACTCCGACCACCGGAGGAAGGAAGGCGTGGCTGGCTCGGCCGCATAGACCTCCCGAAGATCATGAGGTAGCCATCCAAGCGTCGAAAGCCGCGCTTCCCCTCGGATGAGTCGAGCTACCCCTTTATTGGAGCCACCGAAACCATCATGAGGGCTAGCCATTGTATAACGTGGAAGGCATGATTCGGTATGGCTCTTGACGGCGCCTCTTCCTGGGTACCCTCGGCTTTTCGTCCCCCCCGATCGGCTATGCTACCCTTTATTGGAGCCACCGACAGAACCGGTTGGAGGCGCTTTTCATGAGGGCGCCCCTTTGTATAGGTGCTTAGGTGGAAGATCGCATGATTCGGCATGGCCCTTGCGCGTGGCTTCTCGAAGTGGTCCGGTACCCTCGGCGGGCATGGTTGGACAGAACCGCTTCATGAGGAACCTGCGGTGTTTTCGGATCAACGGCTAATAAATTTCTAGTGCTCGCTCGCTGGGCGGGATGGTGTGCTCGGATGACTCAAGAAGATTTTCCCGTAGTTCTATCGGCGAAGATCCCTACGTTCCCGGGGACGTGTGTTGCCTGGAGCTTCCACAAAAATCTCCTTTAGGTCCGTCCAACTTTGAATCCGGTTAGTAGTAAAGGTGCTCCAACCATGTTCGCAAATGGCCAGAACAATGAGAGGTTGCGATAATGAACGTCACTATCTGCTCTCCCGGTGAAAGAATCGAAAACCACGGAGTTGAGTCTCGAGTATTTTGAGATGTTGGTTTCGGTACCACGGTGGGAAAGCGGCGTTGAGGATGTGTCGGTCAAGAGCCGAGGTCCGGCCCGTGGCTCGGCTCCGGCCTCACCGCCGTCGTTTTTCTATCGCGACGAGGGTGGTAGCCGCGTAGCTTCCTATATCTCGTCGCTTCAGAACGCCCACGAAATCCGAGAGTTACGCATCATGGTAGAGGTCGAGACACTCATGCAGGGAGAAGAAGGCCTCCGGTGCGGGCGCTCCGTTGGCACACACGCCCCGACATCATCTCCTTTTTTATAGGTGAAGGGAAGGCGCGGAGTTCTGAGAGAGAGTCCTCAGAAGATGAAAAGGAGGGAGAAGAAGGTCTCTAGGGTCGCGTCATTCATCTCCTTTATGCGGGTCTTCACCATGATGATGACGGGACAGCCATGCCTCGTTTGCGTGCCATCCTCAACGGTCACCGGTCGTGGCGTTCCATCCGCGTCCCGCGGCGGCGTGGTCAACAGTACTCTGTCAAAAGCCGTCTGGGGATTAGGCGCAAGACAAACGCAGACGCTCGGACACTTTATTGGCGGCGTGAGCCCCTAGGTATGGTCCGTCGCACCCACGGGTCACGTCGAGACGTGCCCGCTTCCCTCCCGGTGTCAGAAGTTTGACCCTGGGGTCGTACACTTAGACCCGTAGTGGTTGGAGGTGGTATGGATCCCCGTTGGGCGAGACAGAACCCGCGCCCGAGGGGTCGGGTGAGATGGAGCCACGCGCGCTTCTTTAGGGTCTGGCGAGACGGAGCTCAAGCCCGAGGGTCTAGGCGAGAAGGAGCTCGCGCCCGGGTCGGTCTAGCGAGAGGGCTCGCGCCTCGGGTCGTCGTCGAGACGAGAGCTGCTGCCGGGTCGTGCCAGACCTTAAATACGTCTTAGACCATCCGGGCGAATTAACGTTCATGGCCGTTAACTTCCTTCCTCCGGGGATCCCTAATATCGATACCCAACACTATGCTTGAATTGTCCCATAATTCTGTTAAAAAAATCCAGTTTTTTATGCCATTTTTAAGTCATGATAAAGGATATTTGAACTTTAAATAAGCTGAACTAGGTTAGTGTCTTACAATTGAGTCATCCATTTGGCTATCCATTGATCTGCTGATCTGAATTCTTTCGTAAGAACTTTGGCTTTGCACAATGCCATCTTTAATCTTGTTTAGGTTATGAATATAATACTTGTAAAAGCTTGTTTATGTTATGGTGGATGTCACTGATCAATCCTCCTTTGTCTATTTAAACACCTTGTTTGTGCACTTTGCCAGATTTTGTTGCCTTATCCTTGGTTTTCAAACTGAAGTCTGTACTATTAGGTTCTATTCAGAGCCATTCTCCGAAATGGCTCATCTCAGATAGTAAGCTTAACAACTGTTTGTTTTCTGTTTGTACATTCAGGTGGGCACGAGCTCAGCAAGAGCACTGGAAACGCTGGTGGCCGTGTTGCTTGTGGTACGATCACCCATTTCCCAGCCCCATTCCCTTACGCCAGATTAGCTTCCTGTTCTTTCACACACACTGGATTTCTGATCGCATTATATTATCACTCCAGGGATCATTGGACTCCAGGGCTGAAAATGATCGCCGGACTTCGGGCGCCTGCCTGAGAGTGTCGTCTTCTGCCGTCGCCAACAGACCAGCCTGAACATTCCGAGACCTCGTGAAATAAGAGCACCTGATCTATGATCAGTGTATTTGTCATTAAGCACCTGTAGAAACCGATGAACTAAACTGTGTTGGACTATGCTGGATCGCCTGAGTATGTGTTACATGTCGGTTTTGAGAACATCCTATCGTTTCGATGTGCTTTTGTGGAACGTGTTGTTGCAATCAATGGTGGCGACTTGATTTTGATATGCAGCCAGCAGCAGCAGCAGCAGCTCGTGATTGCTGCTGAGTGCTGACTTGCTGTTGAAATACGCTGGCTGCATCGCCTGTCTTCAGTGGAGATGGTCCGCGCCAGCGACGGCACATCCGTGCCCACGGTTGCTTTGCTTTTGCTTCCACTGTCGGCTAGATGGACACGACGGTTGCAGCGGCGGTGTAGGCCCTGTTTGTTTCGGATTAAAATCGGATTCTCGGTTGGCCTGCGGTAGAGCATTTGGCAGGTGGTGGAGAAAATCACATGGTTTTCTATCCGACGAACAGGGCCATAGGTGTTGCGTTGCCGTGGTGGTCGGTAGTGCTGATCTCGGGATGCAGATGGTGCGGATATGCTCGTGCTGCAGTTTGCACAGTGAATCTGGTAAGGGACGGGAACGGAATCGATCAGGCGAAGAGCGGCATTGCACCGGAGTGAACCAAGATCCGTCGTGGTACAGAAATTAAAGAAGGAAAGAACGAAGTGCCGTTCCGTTAGGGAACAGAAGGGGGAAAAAAAGGAGGAGAAGGATAAAAAAGAACGAAGTGCCGTTCCGATAGGGAACAGAAGAAAAAAAAAAGGAGAAGGATAAAAAGGGGCATTCCGAGAATCGAACTCGGGACCTCTCGCACCCAAAGCGAGAATCATACCACTAGACCAAATGCCCTGTTTGCTGAAGGAGGACGGATTAAAATGTTCTTATTATAATACAATCCCTTTAGCATCCTCCATTTGTTGAGCATGCAATGTCGACAATTTTTTTGTAACTCATGTCAACGTTAGGGGTTGAGTTATTTCTGTCTGATCAAAGGCCGGTTCAGAATAGGTTTAGATCGGGCAAAAGAAAATACTAAGAGGTTGTTTGGCTCCTCGCCTTCATGTGCCACGCCACATATATGGCGGCCACAGCAGTTTTGCCCCCTGCTTGGTTGGTGACTAAGATGTCGTTGTCACAGCTGCACAAGAGTTAAAGCTTCAGGAATCTCGCCAGTCTGTGGCGGTGAATTTGACAGCCACAATCTGCGGCCGCCACACCTACGTTGTGGCAAATAAAGACCGGCATCCAAACAGCCTCTAAGTAAAATCTGGTCCGACTTCAATCCAACGCACTGACTCAGATTTTGTATCAATCTTTCTATTTTGGGTTGATTTTTTTTCCAGGTTAGTTCGGATCATGGACCAAAGATTATGATCCAAGCCTGATCCAACGTACTGACACATCGGGTTAGTCGAGTTGGGTGGCCATGATCAGATGTAGTCACCGTGTTCGGATGGTGCAGTGAATTTCGGATGGTTTCGGATGATTCAATAATATTCTGTGAGGAAAAATAAGCTGAAACAAGCGAACGGTGCACCACCTCCAACCTCGCTCCATTGCAGCAACGCATAGGCATCCGGGATCCACTGTTCTCCCTTCCCGCACCGTACCAGACAGCGCAGTCAAGAGCCGACAAACCTACGGCCACCACCACGCACACGCAGAGAGCCATACCAGAAACCAGATCCGACAAATCTCGCTCGGCTGTGCACCCGTGCCAGAAAACCACAACGGATCCAGTACCTACGGCAGCCGCAATGGACCAAGAGCAAGAGCAGGACAGGCAGCACCGACACCGACACGTGAGGAATCCAAACGCCCAGCAGCAGCAGGCGTCCCTCTGCTGTCCTTCTAGAAGGCATCAAGGATGTTGGACCGGGGGCAATGGAGCACCGCGTCCGCGTGCCGGGCTGCCGGCCCGTCAGCGTCACCGTACCTGCACCGCACTGTGTGTTTCCGCGCGCGCCGTTGCTTGCCGCCGTTGCTTGCTTTGTCCTGTCGTCCAGCTGTGATCTCACACGAATCGCCAAAGCCCAAGTCTGCACTTGCCAGAAATATGTCCACGAGTCGAGGCTCACAGTCACAGCCAACGCATCCGGCTCCACAACCACAACCTTTCCAAAGAAACAACTGGAGACTTGAGCTAATTTTCTGCTACAGCGGGCCTAATCGGCTACACTTCTTGCAGCGCTGCAGCGGCAGCAAAAGGCAAGTTCTCAGTAACTCTAGTGCTGAAAAGAGGAAAAATATGTAGCCACAGCGGCAGGCACCATAAAAAAAAAAGATAGCTGAGCAGAGCCAGCATATCTCCTTTTTCATTTCTTTTTAATTGAGATAACTACGAACCTGTTCGGCTGTAATATATAACGGCTGCTACAACTATGTGCTACTATGTGAGGTGGCTGACGCCCGAAGCGGTCGCTCTTTTTTCCATTTCTTTTTAATTGAGATAATTACGAACCTGTTCGGCTATAATATATAGGCCCCGTTCGATTCGCTGAAAAATAAGTCAAAACACTGTTCCGGCTGAAAAAAGAAGCTGAAAAGTACGGATTATAAGAGAAACGAACAGGGCCATAGCGGCTGCTACAACTATTTGCTACCATGCGAGGTGGCTTACCGCCGAAGCGGTCGCCCTTTTTTTAGGAGGACGTGCCCGTTGACACGTGTTTCATTAAGATGGGTTAAAAGTACAAAAGAACGGTACGGTTACAAGGTCCGCACGCGAGAGACGATGGACCAGAGCCGCCTACACAAGGCACAACTTGCTCAATAACTTGCACACTCCAACTACCACCGAGGTGATTTTCTAAGTGCCCCATTCAATGCCACCTCCGGTGCTCGCTGCTATGTCGCTCCGCTCGGCCGTGAGCCGCCATTGGCCTGCTTGTCATAGGAAGCCGCTAGCCACCTAGATCTTCCCCTATGCACAGGAGCTATGAGGGCACGACCACCTTCGAATCCTTGACCATTGCCATGAGCTCCGACACTCCATCACAAGATTGATCGTGGCTGGAGCTTGTCGCCCAAATCCTCGAGCAAGTGAACTGGGACTACAAAGTTGGCGAGCATGTACGAGGTCGCGAGCGCACACTATATATGGAGAGGGTGGTGGCGGCGGCGGCTATGGACACTGGCAAGCTTGTGGTGGAGAGGAAGAGAGCAAGCGATTGAGAGGGGTGACCGTGGTGATGATTGTGGAACGATGGTAGGGTTTTGCTTCGAGTCAGGTTAGATGTGAGCCATCCATCGTGATCTAACGATGGATGGTGTATGGACCATGGTGCTAGGACTAATCGGCAAGTTGGACTAGACACGAAGATGAGTTGGCGAGCATGATGGCTTGTTGTTAGAAGGGTATTGAGGATTTGCTGCAACACATTTCCAAATAATGTAAAATCGAGTGTTAGGCCAACCCCATTAACATCTTATTGGGTAGCTGTACTTGAGAGTTTCTAGAGATGCTCTGACCTCCCATTAGAAATGGACCATGGAGTAACCAAGGTTGGGCAACGACGCAATGGTGATGGAGCACGCGTGCGAATATATATGCACTTCGTCCTAAAATAAGCGTACATCTCACACTTGAATGAGTCAACTAATTTAAGTTTACTAGATTTATAAAAAAAATAGTTATCAACATTGTACATCTAAAGAGATTTGTTATGAAAACATATGACATGATTAATCTAATGATATTTATTTAGTAACATAAATATTAGTAATTTTAATATATATTTGATTAAATTTGATATCGGTTGAGGACGTTTATTTGTACTGAGGAAGTATATATACAAATGTTAGTTTGGTCTCCGTCAGCCCTCGTGCAAAATGCCAACGGTGGCGCGCTTCTAGAAGGAGGCGCCGCGCCGGATCGGCCACTGCTGCCACGGCGTGGCCGTCAGCGTCAGCCGCGCTGTTTCGTCTGCGCCGTACGTAATGCCTGCCTTGCTTTTGCTTATCCACCTAGTAACGATGGCAAGTGCCACCTAATGGCTAATACTACGTGCATCCATCGATTTGTGTTAGTGCTGGGCCCCAACCAGAGCCTATAACGGTGGATGTAGTAGCGCATATATGTATACTGTATATACAACTCTATCCATTCAAAATTATTCTAAATTATGAGATGTTTTGACTTTTCTAAATACATTATTTTATATGTATCATATCTGAATGCATTATAAAAATTATTGTTTCCAAAAAAGCCAAAACCGTCTTATGATTTAAATGGAAGTATTATTTTCCTTCTTTATCTGTCTTTTGGAATGCAGTTGATATTTGGAATGAGTCCGACCAGAGCAGTTGGTAAGTATAAGAGCATTTCCCACAAGAGACCTCAAAAGAGGGCCTCTACTTTTTGTTTGAGGGCCTTCCTACTCCTGAGGGCTATGTTTTTTCAACTGTACTCCAGCAGTGGCCCTTGAAACAGAGCTCGCAAAAACCATTCTATTAGAGAATGACATGCGGGACCTGCTTGTCATCCTCTTTGTTAGCTTCTTCTCCATCGACTAAATCTGGCCATTGGACTGCAACGGGTTCGCCGGGGTCAGGCGAGTTCGCCCGCGCGCCTGGGAGGACCCACACCGGCGATCCGACCAAGGATCCGCTCGGGAAGGAGCCGCCCGCGTCGAGGATCTACGCCAAGGAGGGAGCGCCTGCGGGGTGGAGCAGGTGCGTCCACGTGTGGGGAGGAGTGGGGCGTGTCCGCGTGTGGGGAGGAGCAGGTCGCGGGCGACGAGCAGGAAGTCGCGGGTGGGGAGGAGTAGGGCGCGATCGCTTCTCCGCCGGCAAGGAGGTGGACATGCCCGGGAGGCCACTAGATCTGGCGGCGGTGGCAGCTGTGGAGGCTTCTTCTGGGGCGACGACAGTGGCTATGGGGGCTTCTTCTCCGGC